TTATCTGTGACTAACCTTCCGCCGCAAGCCTTTGCTAGCGTTCAGTCGGACATTTTCAAGCCGACCAAATATGGCGGCAAGTACACCGTCACACTAATTCCAGGTACTTTGACCCCGATCTTTTCCAAGTCATCGCTTCCTATACCTGGCTCCGGCCATCTTATTGCTTCTCTCGTCACGACCCTGTGTCAAATACTGACCTGCAATCAATTATCATTACAGGCGACGGAATTGGCGCTGAAGTTGCCGAGTCGGTGAAAACAATCTTCAAGGCCGACAATGTTCCCATTGAGTGGGAGCAAGTGGATGTTAGTGGTGTGGACACTGGCAATAAGCACTCGGAGGAGCTCTTCAAGGAGTCCATCGCGTCCCTGCGACGGAACAAGCTGGGTCTCAAGGGTATCTTGTTCACCCCCGTTGAGCGCTCCGGTCACCAGTCATTCAACGTTGCTCTTCGTCAGGAGCTCGATATCTTCGCTTCGGTTGTCCTCATCAAGAATATTCCCGGTTACAAGACCCGCCACGAGAACGTTGATCTGTGCATCATCCGTGAGAATACCGAGGGTGAATACTCTGGCCTTGAACACCAGTCCGTTCAAGGTGTGGTGGAGTCATTGAAGATTATCACTCGTGCCAAGTCTGAGCGCATTGCCAAGTTCGCCTTTGGTTTCGCTCTTGCCAATAACAGGAAGAAGGTCACCTGCATCCACAAGGCTAACATCATGAAACTTGCGGATGGTCTATTCCGTAGCACCTTCCACAAGGTTGCTGAGAACTACCCAACTCTGGAGGTCAACGACATGATTGTTGATAACGCCTCCATGCAGGCTGTCTCGCGCCCCCAGCAGTTTGATGTGATGGTCATGCCTAATCTGTACGGTGGTATTCTCTCTAACATTGGTGCTGCCCTCGTTGGTGGTCCTGGTGTGGTTCCTGGCTGCAACATGGGTCGTGACGTCGCTGTGTTTGAGCCCGGATGTCGCCATGTCGGCCTTGATATTAAGGGCAAAGATCAAGCGAACCCCAGCGCTATGATTCTGTCCGGATCTATGCTTCTTCGCCACCTTGGCCTAGATGACCATGCGAACAGGATCTCGAAGGCGGTGTATGACGTGATTGGTGAAGGGTAAATTCGTTTCTCCCAGGGTCATTGCGGACTTTTGACTAACGCTTCGTCCATCAGGAAAACAAGAACCCGTGACATGGGCGGTCAGGCCACCACCCACGAGTTTACCAGAGCTGTTCTCGACAAGATGGAGGCTGCTCTGTAAAGAACTTTCTCTTTGAACTTGCTACTATTATGATGATGAGAGCTTGTATAGGCCTGTTCACTGTTAATCTATTCCTTATCTGGTAGACTATGCTCACTCCTGGTACTGTCGCTATATGTTCTATCATCCACATGTACACCACCATATTGTCCTGCACAATACAAAGTCCTTCGACAAGATCGTAAAGCAAAGCACAGAGGACGAATGTGACGCAAGTAAACAGCGACCCATGAAAGATGACCAGGTGTCTACTAACCTGCATATTTGAACCCTCGACAGCAATCTTCTAATTTTGAGCTATAATCCACTGGCAGAGGAACAAATGCCCAACAAGTATGCGTAAACTCGAGGTCTCGGTGAATTCAAACCGCGCACTTGAAAGGAGCTGGTGAGAAGACCTGGAGGAAGTCCAACAAAGCAAATTCCACTGCATCACATGCAGTGCAAAAGCCAGGCAGATGTTGTTACGCACCGTTTCCGTGCGCCGAGACGGCTTTGATATGAGCTGCTACTTTGACAGACTCGGTGCAACTAGCCGATGTGGTTGGTTATGCCGTTCTTGATGCCACAATTTGCAGAAAAAATCTGTTTGTAACAATAAAAGATTTGATGTCCTTCGCGGAAACCTCAGGAAGGCCACGGAAAATGAGATCAAAATGCAGGGCGCCGTTTTCTGCCGGTGTATTTCGAATTTGCTTTGACCACCTTGCCCTTCCGGGTCATTTGTTCCTTCTTACGCATAATCCAAGCCTTGTCGCCTTTCCGAGAGGGCAGTGCTCGCCCCTTTTCCGTGGCGCTTCTTCTGGCATCAAGGACGTCGACATCGCTCATGCCATTCACAATCCCGGTAATGTCACCCTGCAGCCCGCCGCCACCAACAGTGAGAACGAGGTACAACTTGCTGTTCTTCGTTCCAGGATCGTCTTCTAAAATACCTGCTCCGAAGCCGGCCTTCATCGCGGCTCCACTGATCATGCTTCGCTGAGCATCATTCTTTGGGTAGAATTGACAGACTGCGCGGCCCCCGCGTCGAAGACTAGCATAGAGGCCCTCGAAAAATCTCCGTAAGCGGCCCTCAGCGCTGACATCGCTCGATTCTGCATTGCACAGCCACTGAATTGCACTGATGCTGATCGCTGCATCTAGTGATCCGGCGCGCAATGGAACGCCTTGTCCGAGGTCTGATAGAAAAAGGTCTACGGCCTCATCGTCTTTCTCTAGACTAAGCTGTAGCATGGATGCCGAGACGTCAAGGCCGATGACTTGATGACCGGCCTGCGAGACGATTTGACTTGATAGACCAGACCCACAGCCAGCGTCTAAAATAAGGGACGGGGTCCGTAAATCGAGCAGCTCAAGTGCTCTATGGCTCATCTCTGCTTGCACCTTTTTTACGCGGCTTGAGGTATTATAACGACCAGCTTCGCGATCCCCATAATATAGATCCGGGGGTCTATAATAGTCACTGATGTTAGTATCAGGTAGAGGGAGACAGTGCTGCAGCACATACAGGATGTCTTCAGGGCGCGACATGACGATCACAAGTATATTCTCTGTGGTAGAGCCGGCTGTGAACTGATAGACTGGGGATTGTATCTTGCTGCCGATGGGGAGAAAAGTAGAATCGCTGGAAAAATATTCCCAAGAAGTAGACAAAAATTGGGGGTTGAAGTCAGTTCTCTGTCCGCGGCACAGAAGAAAAAAATTGGAAACTCCCTGGCCGCCTGCGGGCCCGCACCTGCCGCCCGAATTCATGTAGCAAGTGCATGGAACTCCGCAACGACACGCTTGCAGTATATCTATGCCAACCGCTTTCTTCCTCCTTTTCATCTTCTTGACGGAGGTAGCTGATATTGACTTTCTCTATATGACCGCGAGGGCTTTCAAAGTCATTCTATCATCTTTATCCTCAGTCCAGGAGACCAAGCCGCTTGCTGTTGTGATCTGACCAACTGTTCGAATCCTCTCGAGAGAACAAACAGACTCCACGTCTCAGCCTGCGCCCACTGCGGCGCCACCCAACACAGATCATGTGGATTTTCCCGCTTGTAGGGTACTTGGGGGTGATCGTAGGATTCGCTTTCCTCACCCTAGCAATAGGTACGTGCAAAGTACGACAAATGGGAACGATGCTGATGCTGTTCGCCATAAACCCCTTGGTTCCGGAGAGTCAGAAGTTTGGCTCCAGTACTAACTCACTCTAGCTTCGGGGCTATATTACCTGTCAGAGCTCGTGGAGGAACACACCGTCCTTGCCCGTCGGTTACTATCCCGGCTGATATACAGTATAATCCTCGTTCAGATGCTCCTTGTCGTGTTTGATCGGTTTCCTCTCGGCCTCTCAGCCCTTAGTATCGGCTCCCACCTTGTATATGCCAGCAACCTGCGCCGCTTCCCAGTCGTGAGATTATCCGATCCCCTCTTCATCTTGTCGTGTGTTCTCGTGGGTTTGAATCATTGGCTCTGGTTTCGTCACTTCTCACAGCCATTGCCCTCGACGCGAAGCCCAACAAGCTGGCGACACCCATATCAAGTCACCGTTGAGGATATGCCAACTTTCACTGAAGTGGCATCCTACTTTGGACTATGTGTTTGGTCAGTCCCTTTTGCGCTTTTCGTCAGCCTAAGTGCTGGGGAAAACGTTTTGCCTAGCATGGGTTCCGGGTATGTGACAGGGGAGCACGTTCCTGGCTCTGCATTCACTAGCCGCGCTTTGTCGTCAGATAGCAGGTCTAAGAATAAGGGGATGGCGAAAGCATTGGTGGATGGCTTCCGGGATTGGGTGAGTGAGAATGGGGAATTGATGGGATTTTGGAAAGGTGAACGGTCGAAGAGATTCTAGGTCTCTGATACATGTCTTCATGCCCAACATCCACATGCAATATAAATTGCACCTTGAGATATGGCACAAGCCGTTTCATCTAAGTTCATCAAACGATAGAAGTGATCATACAATCTCTTGAATAGAGGCTATCATCCGCCCATCGGCTTTCAATAGAAAGGAGTATGTCTAGATAAGGCTAAAAAAAGGAACGGGCTTGCAGTCTTCAAAAGTGACACGGGGATATATTCTGCTGCAATGAGAGGACATGTCGGACAAGAGAAGGAGAAGCTGAGGAAGGGAAGCTGCGATGCATTCGAAATGTGTAAGCACGACGGACAGAAACCAAAAGATTTTCAATCGTAAAGCTGCGTGGGGTATATGGTCTCTGAACTTTGCTCTGTCGAATCTGAAGAATTGAGCAGATCGGTAAGATGTGCCATCCAAGTCAGTAGCAACAATCCATGAAGCTCTTTGTTGGCTGGCTTCTAGGAAAAATACAAAAAGCCATTCTCATATTATCATTATTATTAAACGTTTCGTTTCCGTGCCTATCAAGTGGTGTCAGGCTGAACATACGGGGCCATTTTGTATATGTTCGACCCCAAAGCTGGCCTTTAGAACAGAGACATGCTAGATTGATACCATGGAGAGAACCGAAAATCCAATGCCAAGCAACCAGCAAATGACAAAGCGGGAAATTCAAGGAAGAGGACGGAGGAAAGGCGTAAGGAGACGAGCCATGTAGCATCACGCATGAGAAAGGTACCGAAGAGTATATAGACAGTGACCAGTCACGGACTGGGTGAGTGGGGTAGAATAGGCAGTGGAAATGGGCAGCATGCAGAGCCTGTCTCGCCGCGAGGCTGATCCCAACGCTCGGTAATTCCAGGTTTCGATTATCAGAATTAGTCATCTTGCACTGGAGGTGAAAAGGTATGATTGTTGATATCCATAAACAGTAGAGAGCTTTCTCTCCTTTTGGACTTGGTAGACCGCGTGTTGTCAATATTCGGCGACAACATCTTGTTAGCGAGAGGTATGATTGACTGGCTCGATTGGGACAGCTCGGACCTAGCATTACTACTGGATACCTCGTAGCTCTGCTGTGTGAAGCTAGACACACATTCTGATTGCATAGAAGCGTCCTGTGTAAAACCCGTTTGCTCCTGGTTCCCTGTCTTACCATGTTTGTGTATAGCAGTATCTGGCAGCATCTGATGGTAAGGGAAACGGGACTCTTCTGGAATGGTGGCATAGTCATCACGAGACTCCAGTGATTCGTCACCAGAAACTGGTGGCTTATTGAAGATCTCTTCATAGTCAGTGAGAAAAGTGGAGAAGACTGGCGCTGGTATATTGAGGGTGGGCGCGAACACAATGCCGACATTTCTGATCGTCATCTTATTGATGTCGGAATTGTTCACGATGATCATCAGGAACTGGGCCAATGCACGTAGCAAGGCAAGGTTCGGCTTGGGTAGTCGGTGGACAAGGGCGTTGAACGCTGCGATCTTCTGTTTCTTCTCTTGAAGTTCTAGATATATATCATGAGCAACGATCTCGAAGCTATAAGTTCCATAAATACTCACCGAGGACTCGCAGGAAATCCAAGTGTAATTCACGGGTCAGAACGGTCGTGGGAAGCTCCCGGAGGTATTGTTTGAAAAGAGATGCAACAGCATGCACATCATGGTACTCATCATCGGCCAGGAAATCCAAGTCGCCCTCATTATTGAAACGTTCCTTTAGGGCTTTCACAACGACATTGGAACCACTTAGACGGAAGATCCCCTCTTCTGACTCTGCACCCTTTGCTTTCAGATACTCTATGCAGCGATAAACCACAGCTGGTAATTCAACATCAAGGCCCTGAGGCGCGCAAAATTCCACGGCCTCGGCCAGGGCCAGACCGAAAACGGGCCTAACAGAGTCTCTTTTCTCGAATGAATTAAGCATTTGAGATGTTGAGCCATCATAGGCTGCCTGAAGCTGTGAGGCTAGATCCATCGATGATCTCGTGCGAAATCCCCATATGCTCCGTTTCTTCTCTTTGACACTTGTTGCGGTCTTGTTGCCCCAGGCCCCTGCGTCTTGTATCACAGCTCCGTTGGTAGGACCAGATATAATTTTCGCCGAGGATTGACCATAATCCTGACTGGCATCTTGACTGTCGGTCGATGACCCTGAAAAGACTAAAGGGGATTTAAGGGCTTGCTTGTCCATGGAGGGTCCAATAACTGGAGGTTCGGCAGGAACAGCATCATCATAACTAAATCCCTGGACAATATCGAGACCTTCCACATCCGAGTTCTCGAGACTCTTATTTTGCTTTTTGTAGCTTGTATTGGCAAACAGCCTAGACTTTGCAGGCGCGTTCACAGCGGACTTCCCCACAGGCGTTTGGGCTTTTAAGGGCGTGCTATAAGTCCCATCTTTGTCCTCGCTTCGTGCGTCAACATACTCCAGGAGCGCGTCAACCCACGTATCCCTTTCTTCATCGCTCTCGGCGCACAAAACGTGACGAACAAGAGCCGTGGAATCTTTCTTCTTCGGCTCAAGTATGAGGAAGGCATGCCGGTACTGATTATCGGTGTCTTCCTCAACGCGAGAAGGAGAATCCGGCTGGTTACTTGAATTTTGAGACTGCTTGCCAATCTGGGCGTTGTAGATCCTAATGGTTCCCAAATGAGGGCCACCTGGCGACTCGAAGTACTTAAGTTCAGGGCCGTGCAGAACAAAGTATCTAGCTTTCCATCCACCAAAATTCTTTCCCCTCTTTGTCAAATAACCCTCTTTGCGGGGTTTGCCGTCCGGGCCTCGTCGAATCTCAATGCCACCTAGATTGTTCCCTTTGAGCAGGCTGGTCTCGTCGTCTCGAGCTTCTATGGCATCGGAAGTAAGGAATTGACATATAATCAATGCTGCCTTCTCATCCATTGGTGTATCGAGAAGTGTTTCAAAATAGGAGTTGAGCGCGGCACGTCTCGCATCGACTTTGGCAGGTGAGTGTCCGCTAAATATTGACCTATCTGGTAACCTGCCTCCCCAGAAGCCCAGCTGCCTTAAGTGTTGATCAAGAAGAGGAAGAGCTGCGATAACCTTTTCAACGCGCCAGAGCTCTTCATTGCCAGACCTAGAAAACACACCCAAAGTAAAGACTGGCTCCTCTTCCAATGGCTTCGGAGCCAGGTAACTGTTTCGGGAGGGCCGCAGGCGTGAGGAAGAGACTTTCACATGAACCAGGGGCAGTGCGTTAGGAGGTAACAAGAGGTCTGGATAGTTTCCTGAGACAAGGCCTTGGTAAACTCCATTGCCTCTCCAAGGAGACTGAGATGCATCCGTCCTAACAGCTCCATCGATTGAGGGTAATTGTTGGCCGAGAGAGTCGACAAGAGCTGAACCATAGACAGCGCTATCATCTGTTGTATAAGGGCCTGCAGCGGATAGAGTTGGGTGGCTGGCAACGCGAGGAGACAGCGCTAATCCAGAGAGTGTGCTCTCCGAAGACTTGGGCAACGAAACAAGAGACGGGGGGATCTCTCTAGGTAAACGCGGCAAAGGGGATCCAAGAGGGCGATCTTCAGGCCTTGGGCTTAATGGTAGCCCAGGACTCTTTGGGATGGCGATTGTAGGGTGACCTTTAAGTAACCTTGAACATGCCACTGGATGGCTCGAGTGACGGGAATCTGCATGATTGACAGGTTGTAATTTTTGTTGATCTGACGGTGGGCTGTGTGCTGTCTTAACCAAGCTTTTATGAGTCGTATCCTTGTCTGCTGCACAAAGCGCCTCACGATTCTGGTCATCTTCGTCTCTCGTCCGTCTCCTGCCGCGGGTTGCCGGGAACTCCTCCACTGCCAAAATGTCCTCATACTCGGAGCCGGAATCGGAGTCTTCTACATTGTAAGAGGGTATATGATCTGCTTGTCCGAGGTTGAGTGGCGCTGGAGGAGGCTTCCGAGATGGTTGAGAAATTCTTCGTGACCTGTCGCTGCTAGGTCTACGATCATGCCCAACCGAGCCAGTGCTTGCAAGGTAGTCTTGGTTGATTGTGGACAACCCTTGACGGAGGTCAGAGGATGATTGATAGCCGTGAGTTACAATCCTTCGATCCGTATGCTGTTCAGGGGGTGCGACCGGCTCGAAAGTAGTTTGCTTGTCAATCGCAAGAACATCGTGCAAGCGACTGTTGCTATGATGACCATCGAGACCTGCATCATCTACTAGGGCTGCCCGATCCTCCCATTGAGCCTCTTTAGATTTTTCTTGGCCGGACTTGGCGGCTCCATCAATCGCCTGCCGTGATGACATAAAATCGCTGGTCGGATTCGGTAGCGGCGGTGGCAGACTTTGTAATTCCTTGACCTTCTTTCTGTATCGCTCCTTTTCCTTCGTAGCGCGTTCAAGATCTTTATTTAGTCCCAATATGAGCGTGCGCTGCTTGTCCACCAGCCTCCAGAGCTGAGAATTTTGTGATGCTGCATGATGCTTTTCTTTCAGAAGGTGTATGATAACAGCTTCAGCCGATCCCGCAGTAGTTATCAAATTTCCAATATCAGCCTGACTCAAAGAATTCGCGTCAAAAGAAGATTTGTTGGTCTGTGAAGCAGATGACAGGGAGGATATCGCAGAGTCGATCGATGAAGTGCGCGGCATTGTACGTTGACCCGGTCGCCTCTCTGACATCGACTGTAAAGAGGTAACTGGCGACATTGAGGGAGGCGTCATCGGAGTATTTGGCTCGGTTGATCCTTGCATCTTGTGCGACTGGTTTTTGTTCGATTGTCCGTTCATGTCCATATCATACTGTTTTGAGTCATCCCCGACCACTCTCGCCGCTGCTTCGGAAAGGTTGAACGCTCTTGAGCCGCTATCGAAGCGAGAAGCCGGAGATGCTGCATGAGCACGGCAGGCAAGATAAGAGGCACTTTCGGACGGGGCGACGTTTCGGAAGGATCAAGCCAACCTTGAGAGATGACGGGTAATGAGCAGCGAACGGTTCCAGAGCACTCGTCTGAATGCTTGATACCGGTAGGAAATCGCGAAATAAGGATTGGAGCAGCCTCGGAGTGAAAGTTCCGTGGACCGATATCTGAGTTTGGTTCTAGATAGTCGCGGAGACAATTTCGGTCTTTTGATGATGATTGAAAGTAGGGGAAAGGGGATGGAACGGACTGCAATTAGTGGGTGTTGTGACTGTTGTCACAGCCTTGCCGCCGGCATTGGTTCTTGGGTGGGGAAGGAAAGACCAGGAGAGGAAATAGGGGGAGGGACCTGAATAAGCACGAAGGCAGTCAACTTAGGTTTTCAAGGTTACGTTGCTAGTCGAAATTGCCCTTCATCATATAACGGTTCAGACTCGACTAACCATAAGTACCCACATAGTACTACGTACATAGTCTTCGGGCCAAGTACAGTATGTACCTATTTAGTCAGGACCTGTGGATGTTGAGAAAGGAAAATAATCGTGTCCAATGGGCGCTATAAGCATGATTGGACCCGGGCTAGACCTCCCGCTGGGTCAATCCACAGGTACCTAGGCCCGGGTGCCCGTCTACTTGGGCCTTGGCTGCTCTTATCGTAGAACTAGCAAACTAGTCTTGTCTTTTGAATACCTTATGTTCGTACACGGAGCTTATCCTCCGCTTTCGAATCTATCCTGTAGGTCATAAAGGAGCACTCGGTTGATGACTTACTGGGCGCTTTGTGTACTTGTACAAAACCATAGAGTATGGTGGTTGCAGAGGAGAGAAAGAGAGGGGGAGAGGGAGAGAGATTTCTATTCTCGAGAGATTGAGTGAGTTTTTAGTTTGAGATCTGTGTTGGTAATGACCCCTTCCAAGAGGTTCGAACAGAAATTGCAACGTTGAAAGAACGCCCCATGTATGAAACCTTTGATCTAGATTGAACGCCTTTGTAGCAGTATCCCACTGCACCAATGATAACGCCAACTAACCCTTGCAAAATACAGTCTCAGGCTATATTTCCTGCCATGCCCATGAAGATGGCCTGGGCGGCTAGCTGAAGTGACCAGAAGCCTACTTTCTTGAAACGACGCTTCCGAGCTTGTTCATCCACAACATCTCGAGCAAAAGCATCGTAGACCTGATTGATATTAGCATAGTATTTTGATCCGCTGTGATGTGAACTTACTGCCGCCGAAAGGTCGTCCATCAAGCCGCTATCAAACGTCGTCCAACTGCCATCGAAATCACCGACCCGCTTGACAAGGCGACAATTTACAGGAATGAACGTTCGCCTTGAATTGATGTATGCAACAATGGGGCGGATTAGTGCATTGTTGATGTACGACAAATCCCGTGTGAACAGGGGGACCACTGCCCTAACATTGTTCAAGTGGAGACGTAGATCAGTAACCAGGAAACGCTTATCATGCTCAGAGGCGATATCGCTAGGTAAGGACTTGGACAATGCCGGGTCGTGGTGATTGTTCGAAGTGACGGTGGCCTCTAGCCGATCATAGAAGTCGGCCATAACCTTAGCAAGGCTTTCGTCGTTTTCGGCCGGAAACATGATATCGGCAACGATATCGACTGTACCCTCGTGTATCCAGGAGAAAGGTCCCTGGACACCACGGTTTAAATGGTCAATGTTGAGCCCGTCCACACGTATCCTGCTATGCTTTTTCCACGAGCTTGATTTGCCGTCCTCAGTGACACTGTCAAGCTGTGCACCGGCAAAGCCGTGTGTTTGACGAGGATGGATTGTAAAGAGTGAATTGTCAAATGATCCAGACATCATGTTGGCCGACATAAAGTCATATAGGAGCCACTGCTTTCTCAGTTGAGGCAAGTCGCAAGAGAAGATACTAACAGGGAAGGGCCTGAAACCGTCCGGCTGATAGACTGTCACCAACACGTCGCTCATTCTGAATGAGTCAATCTCAAAGTCCCCGGGGTGGTGTTCATGCCGGTACGATTTGGGGTCCAGGTCATCATCCGACCAATGAACATAACGGCGGTCAATGACTCCTCTGATGCCTCTTACCTCAACATCGCGAAGCAGCCCCTTGCCGTTTATCCATTTGGTGAACGATAGGGTAACATTGACGGTTTCGATTGACACGTCGAATTGCGTATAATTCGTATCTTCCTCGTCCGACGGAGTTCGCTGATCGGGAAGCTCATGACTGGGTTCTCCTCCGAGAGCTGCAGCTGCGGCTACGGCCGCAGCGGTCTTCGACGATCCTTTGGTGACATTTCCTGTCCCCTGGCCTGGTCGCCTTGAGACGAAAACGTTCTTGAACGTGATCACGCCATCTCTCCATTTAGGAACAATAGCAGATTCAAACACAACCTTCACCCCAGATGACTTGGTTAGATAGTTACCTATCCACCCTGCTAATGTTTCTGTGCATATTTAGTGATGAAAAGATAACGGCAAAGGTACTGAGTGACAGACCTTGAGCAAAAACCGTGTTGATTGCGATAATAAGCAACGAAAAAAAAGTTGTTGTGCCCAATACAACCCAGACTACATGCCCTAGAAGCACCCAAGAGAAAAGAGCTGTGATCTCATCCAAGTTGAAAGGCCGAACGCTTCGTATTGAAAACCACTTAAACCGCACCTTAAGTCTGGACCAAAAGCCATTTGCCGCAGCCAGCAATTCTTCCTTTGAGGGTCGATGCAAATGAGGCATGTGCGGCAAGCGGTTGATTAAATGGCGATTAGCATATAGCTTTTGGTGTGGATCATTCGAAGGTTGCATGTAGTCGCGGCCTTGCGTGACCTCATGTTTGTCGCCTCTTTCGCCTCTGGGCATAGGTTGATTTATGCGAGTAGCACGACTAGGTTCACAGTCATCTTTCCGGGGCTTCGTCTGATGGCTCTCATCATTGTGTGTATGTAGTCTGCACTTTGACGCATTCTGAAAGGATATCAAAAATGATTTGCGGTCAAGGTGATGTGAGAATCTCTTTGGAGATTTAGTACATGTTGTACGAGTCTCCACTGCAGTTGAGCTTGGCGAAACTCCGAGCACAAGACAACCCCCCCAAGCAAAGCGTCTCGTAGCCCTGTTGGAGATCTGGTAGGGGTGATATGGTTTCTTTGCGGACGGGCATTGAGAGAAAAGCCTCGAAGAGAGACTGCCTGGATTCAGCGGTGTGCGACTGGCTTGCGATCCATGCCCGAGAAGCGGGTTTAGGATGGCGTACAGCCTGCGTGTGAAATAGCCAGACATTATCTACTTCCTCACATAATGGAAAATGAATGTTTTGCTAGAGGCGCAAGCCAGCAATCAGTAAGTGAATTGATAAATCCGAGGCGGAATGAATATGCACCAGTTCGCAAAGGCAGGAATTTGCCCATTGGGTCTTTGATACTGTCTCCGGAGACACTAGTAACATTGAGGAAATACAAGAGTATTGCGGGTCACGTGCATTTGCATATTCTGCTTATGTTATGCCATTTTCCAGCAGTCCGATAGGCGAGATTTTGTAATATGAATAGATGTGCATTAAGTCATACTGATCGATACTGCCAAGACTCGTATGGCTCTGAGTTCCTGTTTCCCCGAATTTTCTTCAGTCACATCACACATCACTAATTTGGTTTATTCGACTCGCTCTCACTTCACCGGGTTAAACCAAATCACAATGCCTGCACCCACAGCTATCAGGCAACCTGCCGCTGCCTCAGCGGCGTCAGTCGCACCTGCGGCAGGTCAGTCATTATCTTGCCGACCAATGTCGCTTTACAATGCTAACAGCTTTTCCAGACCTAGATGAGGAGATCTTGATCGATGCCCAGCCCTCAGCTGATGGGGCCGCACCGGCGTTTAACTTTGCATCTGATCCAGCCCACGACGCTGATGTACATATTGATGAAGAGGGCCGGCCTGTTTTTACCCCGGCGAAAGACGTCCACCGCGTGCACCGAGTCGAAACCCGAAAAGTCCCCGTTCCACCGCATAGAATGACTCCACTGAAAGCTAGCTGGCCACGAGTCTACACTCCGCTTGTTGAACATCTCAAATTGCAAGTGAGGATGAACATTAAGAATCGAGCAGTCGAACTTCGTACATCTCGATTTACGACTGATACAGAGGCCCTGCAAAAAGGTGAAGATTTCGTCAAGGCCTTCACGCTAGGGTTTGATGTCGATGATGCTATTGCACTGTTGAGATTAGACGATTTATACATCCGCTCTTTTGAGATCCGCGATATCAAAACTCTCAATGGAGAGCACCTCAGCCGTGCAATTGGACGCTGCGCTGGCAAAGATGGCCGAACCAAATTTGCAATAGAGAATGCCACCCGTACAAGAATCGTCATTGCAGACCAAAAAATCCACTTGCTAGGCGGCATCAAGAACGTCGAAGCTGCTCAGCAGGCCATTGTCAACCTGATCATGGGTAGCCCACCAGTAAGTACTCACATCCTTTCAGCACACAGCACCTGCTTACTTGTAAACAGGGAAAAGTGTATGGCAACCTTCGTAAAGTGGCTTCACGTATGAAGGAGCGCTTCTGATCACCTATACATGACTCTCCTTTGTTTTTATTCCATCTTGTTCTGTCCTATGACATGGTTTTGGCGTTGTGGAAAAGGTGATATCTGATTCAATAAATTCAATGAGACGATGACACAGCCTTAACTTGAAAATAGCCTTTATTCAGTAATAATTCCAATACTCAGGATGCCGTCCACTTTTGCTATCCTTCGTAAGTCATATTGGAACCAGAAGACACGCTTCTATTTAGTCCTTCTTCAGAGGATAGTAGATCTCCTCTATACCTCCGCTAGTGATGACCATCATCTGTAGACCATCACCAACTTCAATGTGCCTCTCAACGGCACTTGTGAATGCATCCCGTACGAGCTGCTCAACTGTATCTCTTGACAGTGGGTCTGCTTTCTTGGGCTCCAGAGCATGGCCTTCGCCACTGCCAGGGATGTATTGATTTTTGAAATTGACCTGGTTGTCCAAGAATGGCATGATCAAGCTCGCTGCAGACCCAGCTGCTCTGCATTGTTCTCTCTCGTACGACCCTACTGGATCGTAGCTGTACAATGCACCTCTGCCATCCTCATCCAAGCCTGCTAGAATAGCATGCACGTAGTAGGGAAAGAACCGTTTCTGATAAAGTATCGTCGAGAGGCGCTGAGCACAAGCTCCGACAGACATTGACTTCCCATGCTGATACTTGTACATCTTTACCACAGCGTCTAGTCTTTCTTTGAGTGCTTGGCCATCCGCGGCGAAGCCCACGACCGACAGAAGAATGTGAGCACCCTCGCCAGTTTCATCATCACCTCCAATTTTGAAAACTTTCGGAACGTATCGAGAGTTGATGTTGTAGCCTGCAACGGAGCGAGTGTCACCAGCAAGGATAGCGAAGTCGGAGCCAGTGATGCCCAAGGTCGAACCGCCGTTGTCAGTGTACCTAGCTCTGTGTTAATTTTCGGTGATCGTAAGTCTATAGAAGAGGGCCTTACGGGTAGAATGAATGCTCTTTGGTCGGAACACCTGTTGACTGAGTGAAGGAATATCCGATGGCTTCACCGTGAGGTTGACTGAGCAAAGTCGCCATTGCTCGTAAGGAACAAAAAGTTGTTGAGAGGACGGAAGATAAAGGGGAGTTGAAGGTAATGCTATGCAAATTAGAAAGATTATATGTATTCTTGTAGCACTTTCAATTACCGTCACGGCAAGCGGTCGATTCGGAAAGAAGGTTGGATGATGAAGGAATAGCTGAGCTTGGGCTGCTGACGCGATTGAGCTGCCTTGTGCTTATCTAAGAATTGTATCGTCCGTTCACCCTCCGTCATTATCTAATCTCATGATAACGCCCTACACAGGCAGTCCATCTCTACCAGCCTGTATGTTTAATTGTGTTTTTACATGATTGCTCTAGTAGCTCAGAGCTACAGGCCCTTAAAAGAGTGTTACATGCGAAGAGATGTTGGGGCTTGCGGCCTATGGGAGCAGCAGTGAAGATGAAGCTGACCCCAATCCAATTTCCACCAAGACTAAGGTAAAAAGAAAAAGCATCTTCCGTATGCGAATATTCACTGATGTACCTGGCTAGCAAGGAAAAAAGGAATGTCTTGCTCGGACCCCACAGGCAACTCAAAATCCAGGTGATTATGCGAACTTCTCCGTCATTCTAGGACTCTTTATGGTCTAATAAAATATGCTTGAAGCAGTACCTGAGAAAGAAACAATATTAGAGCGTGTTTCCATGCCAGATTCTGACAGACCTATCTTCGGTCCATCGCATGAGAGCCCTTACGATGCACAAAAATTCGCACCGAATCACTATATGACACTGTCGGCATCTCGTACTATAATTCATGATTTAACACTTCCCCCTGTCCCGAATTTAGACATCCCTCCATCACCTCCAAGCTCGCCTGACCGCTCCGCAGATGCAAAGTTTGCCCATTTCTTGTCTTTGAAGAAACAGGGTGTCCACTTTAACGAAAAGCTTTCGGGTTCTGCGTCCTTGAGAAATCCCAGTTTGTTGAAAGCGATGATGAACCATGCAGGAATTGATAATCAGGAACAATATCAGGCTTCACTTCCATTAGCAATATGGAATGCGCCAGGCTTACCAAGTTGGGGGTTCACGGAAGTAATCAGACAGGCACAACGAGACATCCAGGGCACGATGGACGAGAGGAGGTCAGTACGACGACGAGAGGAGATTCCCTTTGTGGCTGCCACATATTCCTTACCATAAGAACATCCACTTTTTCAAAAGTCCTAAGGATGAAGACTCGCAATGTGCATAAAGCTGTAAAGTTGCAGCATTTGGCATAGAAAACAATGGAAAGATGGGATTACACGGGTATTCTAGTGGCCATGCCAAAATTTGACCCCGTAGGTATCTGTGCATTTGAGTTTTCAAAGAGACAGGATCGAGATTTCGAACGATGGCCTACCCGAGGGTCGCAAATCAGTGCCATATGATTCACTGCTAGATGGCGATACTAAGTACTGAGAAGGATTCAACCATGAGGTCAATCAATATAACGATCCCTCAGGTAGGCTATGATACTTCATTGGGATATCTTCTGCGGCATTTCATACGGTTTCTGCAGAAATCATGCTGGCACTTACAGTGGCTGGTAGAGCAGGGCATGTAAAACAAATTCGCGCGCGGGCTGCATCACATCCATCTGCTCCAAGATAAAGCCGCGGTCTCCGGCGTGGGCGAGGCTGCGCAGGAGCGACAACCGGTAGATACTGTACAGCAAGCGGCTGAGATCGATCCAGTCCGAGATACTTTGGGCATAGGATGAAGCGCCTTACAAAATGAACAAGACAGCGAGGTCCGCCCAAGCATCATAAAGTAGCTAGGCTAAAACCTGGAGCCCAGTATAAATTAGCAAGACCATGAGCCAGGTGCCGGCGCTCATCAGTAGTACAACCTATAATACCCGTATGCTGTTGACCCTGGATTACGTAGCTAGGTACTGTACGGAGTACTTCATAGGTACAGCCTGCCGTAATCCGGATCAAGAAGGCGGTGTGGTAGTAGATTGGGATTACGCCAAGGTAGCAACGCAACGACGCGGCCAAACCTACACTGGCCTATCTTATCCTCTGTTCAACTGCCTCAATTCTACCTCCAACACCCTTCACCAGCAGCATCAATTTTCATCCGACTACTTTCACCTTCAATCCTTTATTCTTCTATAACTCATTGTACTCATCATGAATCATTTCCCCGAAGCTTGGGGCAGGGTAAGAGCACTTTCAGTTTCCGCTGCCTCTATCAAGCTAACCATATCCAGCCCCGGGACGACGTGTATGGCCCTTACAACCCTTCATACCTGCAGACTACCGGCCCCAAAACCCACACCCAGTCACCAGCAGTCACTGGGTCTTCAATACTGGGAATCAAATTCAACGGAGGATGTGTTCTCGCTAGTGATAACCTAGGTATAGTTTCAAACACCGCTGAAAGTGATAGAGTTGCTTGCCTAACATATTCTTCTTTGAATATAGCTTCATACGGATCTCTCGCTCGATTTACCGACGTCAAACGACTCCGCAAATTTGGTGACACTGCTGTCGTTGGCTTTAGTGGGGATATTTCCGACATGCAGTACCTTGATCGTCTATTGGATTCCATTGACATCAGAGAAAACTATTCGGCCCACGGCAACACACTCAACGCCAAAAACCTCCACACCTACTTGTCTAAGGTCCTTTACAAGCGGCGATCTGAGTTCAATCCCCTTTGGAATCACATTTTAGTTGCCGGCTTCGATGATGACAAGAAGCCGTTCCTCAGCTCTGCAGATCTGTTGGGAACCACATTCTCCGCACCACATCTGGCAACTGGCTTTGGCGCCCACCTGGCTCTCCCAATCCTTCGCCGGCTATTTCCTGAGGAGAGACCTATCGAGGAGATCACTAAGGATGAGGCAGTCGCGGCGCTCCGTGAGTGCCTTAAGGTTCTCTGGTACCGCGACGCACGAAGCCTTGACAAGTACACCATAGCAGTCATCACACCTCAGGGGATTGAGTTTCAGGAGGATCAGAAGGTCGAGGCTCAGAGCTGGGCATTCGCTGAAACCATCAAAGGTTACGGTGCTCAGGTCAATTAGCTCACTTGTTGATTTATGATGCATGAACTCACTTCCAGAGCTTACTGCATTTGCTCTCACCTGTGTAACAGGACCTTAGGAGCCTGAGATAGATCAAGTAATGTGAGAAGAAAGTGCCTCGTTGCGATTCTCTATAACATGCCGTTAAACGCCTCAGGCATTGTGGGCGGCCTTTATGACACTACTTTTACCTTGGTCCAGCAGGTGCTGACCTCAGGTGCGAGAGAGACCTTCATCAAATCGCCATCCTTTGGCCTTAATGCTCTCATGCCAACACCTGAGGCCCTATGTGTGGCATGTAGTCTTAGAGGAGGCTGGAATGGAATATTGTCACCCGGAATGGCGAAAGATGTAACAAATTTATAGATGAGGACTGGAAATTTGAGTAATGGCGAATCCAATCAACTCGCGTGTTTCTCATAGTTAAGGCCCAGGCAGCGAGCAGTACCGATTCCCTCCAGCGCCTAGAAGCACTCCCACTTCAGCAATCTGGTTCGTAACATAAGCCTGCTGGTATGTCACCCTGAGTGACACGTTCTTATGTGGCCTTTGCAACATCGTTAAAGCCGGCGGCATGAGATCATTGCCTTATCACGTGCTCCCTCAAATCTTTAAGGAAGAAATGAAGGGGCTGTTTAGCTAAGGATAGTAGCGCTCGGACTCTACCAAGATCTTGCCTGGTACTCAGTATGATACGAGACTAAGTACTCTAGGACTTACAGAGAATGTAGCCATCGGCATAAGATTGTTTATTAGGTAAACACAGAAGTCTAGCAAGTATGGAGATTGCTTCCCTATCCGCATGTATAGGTATCCGTGTATATGAGAATATATATGCAAATCATAGTGCGGGGAAGGTTGCGGAGGGTAACTAAGCGTTCTCGGTTGAGAAAAGGGCGGAGGACAGTCAGAATACGATAAGGTAAGCTAACCCCAGCTTCCTGATCATGGATCCGTGTCTGCATTACCAAGATAGATCCTTCACCTTTAACATTGCTCCGCACTGTGTGACTTTCCCACTCACACAATTCTGCGCAGAAGATCGCTGCACAGACTCAATGGCACGATTGTCAGGTCTTCAGCGGGAGGTTCTATCTCTTTATCGGAAATGTTTGAGAGAAATCCGAAAGAAGCCTGTTGTAAGTCAAAATAGACTTTGAAGCAACAACGGTAATGGAAGAAGTGTCTGATATGGTCGATGCCCTCTCGGTACTAGGAAACCCGACAGAATTTCAAAATATACGCCAGGTGCATTGAGATCAAACCGCTCACTATACACTACTGATTATTCAATAGAACCGAGTTTCAGAAGCACATGAAAATCAGCAAAAAAGACTTCAATGCGATTGAATATCTGCTACGCAAAGGGCACCGACAGGTCGAGATGTATTCTTCACCGGGCATACGCAACATCCGCTAATCCATGCGGTGATGCTTCAATTCGGTGCAAGCGAAACGCTTATCTTGACCAACTTGTCAGCTCAAAGGCGCTTTACAGGGCAGTTGGCCAGCAAGTGGGTGACTCAATTACGTCATCCAGGCTGATTAACTACCTAAAGTCAAGTTGCCGCCAGCCGCCTCCCGAAGCTTATGGAATCGTCCAGAGGAACCGAGTAGGAACGGATATGAGCTTTATCAACACTCTAGATAGTGCCAGAATACTCGTGCCAGTTCTCGGTTTGGCACTTAGCTGCTGGATAACACGATGGTAGATGAAGTATATAGCTAGCACAATGGCAAGGAGTCTTTCTGATAACCATTCAATCTTTACAGAATCCGCAACAACAGTGAAGTCTTCTAGCTTCACTCATCCGTCATTTTTTTTGAAGTCAAATAGTCAATAATTCTGCGAAGAATTGGCTCTACCACCCATACTCAAATGCACCATGGCTTACTTTCCTCATTTTACCAATGATATCTCTCCTCTATTCCGGCTTCTAGATGACTACGACTGTCATCGCTCTAGCCGCGCGAAGATAACACCGACAAAGAAACCCATAACGCTAAAATCCGATGTCTTCGAAACACACGATGCTTTTCATCTATCTGCAGAAGTACCTGGCGTTGAATCCAACGATATTCAAGTCGAGTTCTTGGACTCAAATACACTAGTGATAAAAGGTCATGTCAGGAGGCATAACGGGCAGACATTCGAGGAAGGACAAGATCAGACCCCCGTTGCCAAGTCTTATCACCAGCCAACCGTGGAGGATGAGAGTGAAGCGGATGACGCTACGACGTCCCAATCCTTGAAGAACTCATCGAAGCAACAACTACTGACGCCAAAAAAGACCGAGTCTACCTGCAAATATTGGGTATCTGAGCGGTTGACCGGCGAATTCCACCGCGTCTTTACATTTCCAGCGAGGGTGCAACAAGATTTGGTCAAAGCCAATCTCAGAAATGGTATCTTGTCACTTTCAATACCGAAAGAACCTGCTCCGAAGGTGAAGAAAATCCGCATCGAATAGACCATCGAGCTTGGACGTTCCAATTCTGGACCATGGTGTCTTCCAGGGGTCGATATGCGCGGAAATCCTTCGGGCACCTCGCGCGGATGTGTGAGCCTTGACATGATTGCATAGTAGGGAGTCTGGTTCTGTACTTCTTTGGGCATGTTTATGTCGGATCTGCTTGAGGGTTTTTGTTGTTTTCTATAAGCTATAGGGTACTTGTACAATGAGCAATAATCAAGCTTCTTGCAACTTATGATTTGATCTTTTTTTCCCTTCTCTCGTACGCGTAGGACATCAGTGCAGAAAAAGCCCAAAGGGCCGTTGAGTCACACAATCAGGTAATTGTCCTCATAGGATGAGGACGAGCGCCATGATGATGTATGGAAAGTGGTAACCTGATTTTCCGCACCAAGGACCATCAAGTAAACTTATACATTTGACAAGAATGCATAGAATGAAAACGTGTAAACGATATGAGAAAAAAGAATGGCCGATCAGAAGAATGTAGAACTGTTCCCTGACTATTTTGACAGTCTTCCAGATCTGACAGTCATTGAAACAGATAAGCTGTACATGTGTGCAAGAAAGACACGTGGTATAGGGTTGCTAGCATAGCCAAAGCAAAGCTCAACTCAGTTGAAGGATGATGGTATCATAGCAAAGACGGGTAACACAAAAATCAAGACAAAATGTGATGTTTGGTAGCATAACAAAGAGAAGGCGGAGCAGGAATTATAAAATAAGAGGTATAGAGATCGAAGAGAAATGTCCATTCAAGAAACATGGATGACATTGGGTTGATCAGGGACTGCAGTATCAAGGAATGGTGAGTGGAAATCAACAACCTAAAAGGCCGTGGACGTTATAAATGCCTCGTCAGCCGGCGCCCCTGATGCTCAATGGTTCGACTTCGGGTCCGACCCCGCGGAAAGTCCGGGATCATAGCCCTCATGCTCTCTCCACATGGCTTCAACGTCTCTTGAGAAATTGGCAGATGATATGTGCTAGTGGTCGCTTTGGAAAGCCAAGAATCGCTAAGTGTGCTGCTTCTGCTACTGCTGCTGGCGCCACTCAGAGTCCCACAATCACTCGTTGCGCCAACTTGAGAAGTTGATGTCGAGCTGCCTTCAGACAAGGATGGGCATGGCCCACTATTGTAATGTAAATTGCTGCCCGCGATTCCAGCAGGCAGGCGCAACGCGAAGTAAGAGTCAATGCTCGGATGAGACATGGTCCCCTTCCGATTGAGTGGAAGAGAGTCACGAATGTTGTCATTGCTCATCCCAGGATCAAGAAAAAAGTTCCTGTGCCCAGTCCGCTGAGGTATATTATCAGATGACCGTGGTATATTCGTCTTCAATCGCTGCGCTGAGTAAGTACTATCGAAGTTAGAAGAGACGCCTTCATAGCTCCGCAGCTGGCCACAGTATTGTGGATATGACACTAAACGATCAGGATCACACGAGACTGCAAGTGATGTGCTCCTGGCACGCCTATAATGACGTCGTTGTTGTAAGTCGTGACACATAGAAGACACAAAAGCTGGCTGGTCAGAAACCTCAAGTTCGCGGCGACTGCTAGAAGCTTGGAGACTCAATTGTCGATGTATTCGAAGCTGCTTTTCTGTAGCTGGCAGATCTGTAGATCGTAAAGATTGAACGTTTCTCGCCCTATTACTAGACGTAGGACTGAACGATGGAGTAGCAGGCGCCACAAGCACTTGAGAAGGCGACGACCTTGAAGCTTGATTATTCAGACAGAAATGGAAATGTCCGCTATCAGCCATATGATGCGAATAGAGAGACCCTCTGCGCTTACTCAACCTTGAGTAACCCTGCTTTGACAAAGCATCTTTTCTATCACTTGGGGGCGCAGAGCCGCCTTGAGCGTTCGTTACTGAGATACACGGTCTCAATAAGTCTGGAACAGTGGGCGATTTCTCAATAGAAAATGGACTTGTCGGAACATCCTCGTTCTCTGCATAATCGGCACTATTGGGGATCTGTAAGGAGCACGTAGCTGAACTACGCCTGGCAAGTCTCTGCAGATGGGCCTGGGCGGTCGCCAACTCACCCCCAGCAACCTGTAAACAGGGTTCGAAAACAGTCATATTGTTCGGACTGATGTCGGTTCGATGAGGCAACAAGTCAGGTTGCTCATTATTATTCGAAGAAACCTGAGTCTTAATGCGTCGCAAGTCTGGGCGCCCAAGCTTGATGGACTCCTCTTCAGATGCACATCCTGGGTGCAGGCTCGGTGACGGACCTTCGGGGTATTTAACCCTAGTTCGGTCACTGGGGCATGGGGATGTGGAGCCATTCACGACGCGTAATGAGCCTAGTTTCAGTGCTCCTAGATGTGTGTACTCGAGTTCATTCGGTGTAGGAGGGCGTAATTGCCCCGATGGAATACCAGGTCTGGTCGTGCTCTCTTCATTGTGAGTTGCGAATTGTTCGTGCGCCTGACATGACACATTTGAGTTGTTGGTTAGATGGCCATTCCCCTGGTCAAGCATTAGAGGCTGTCTTCGAGCCGGGTCTCTGGTCGATCGTCGTGTCGCAACCCCAGGCCGCGTCAATAGAGACCGTCGGCGGATCAGAGAGAAGCCTTGACTGTCGACCATGAAGTGCGTGTTGGAAGACTTCGCTTCTTCGATAGTACTGCGGCTAATAGCACTGTGCGTTCTTTGAGGTGGCGAAGTGGTCGAATAGGATCGTTTGGGGTGCCGGTCAATTGGTGATTGCGGAGAGGCTCGAAAGTCGGCGGACCGAACGCTACCTTGTCCGGAGGGCTGGAGAGATGCTCGTCTATCCACAGCAGAGGGCTCCACAGTAGCGACAGTGGGCGAGCGCAAATCCATGCCCTGTGGCTCTCTGGCTATAGCCTGGCATTTTCGGGGTGCATTGACGGAAGGCCACGGCGTTCTGGGATGAGAAGTCACAGAAGGAAGAGAATGTGATCTTCGTCCGCTCGAAGCCGGATTATGCGTGTTGATGGGTATGGATGCCCCTGTCCAGGGATTTTGCCATGCAGCTGCGGGATGCAAGCACGCAGACGAACTACCAACAGAAGACTGATGTTGATGAGATACGGAGGTGACCGATTCCACGCTTGCTTGTTTCGGAGGTGGTTTTGACAAGCGTCTCGAGCGGCGGGAGCGCTTGTCCTTACTCTGGTGGTGGACTGACACTGACAAAAAGCTTCCCATTTCCAGACAAGTAGGAAGCTCGTTACTTGACGGCCGACAGGCTCAGGCACCCTTCTAGATCAGTGATAAAAGCACAGGCACGGCATGAGCGGGCGCGCAGAATCGGCAATAGAGTGATATGAGCACAGACGTCGCCAGCCAGGCTTGAAGCGCTAGGCTCCTTGTCACGAAAACACCCGCGTGGGAACCCAGACTTAATCCTCCACTTCAGCTGCGAAATCACGAGAAGAGCTATCGAAGGCGTGGCAATTAGATAGTGAAGGCCGAAACTGGGCCGTGTGTGCTTGTCGTTTCACAATGTGGGCAGCCGACGCTAGATTCAACAATGGAGTCGATAAATGGCCCCAGGCATACATAGACAATACGGACAAGAGAGGTACGAGATGTCGCCGCAATCGCAACCGCGGTGATATGCTCGAGCTATGCCCCGGCCTCCCGTTTTCTTCTGTATTAGTTATAGAATGTAAAGCGCCACCACCAAGTGATCGGTACTGTCGAGTTGAGAATGAGGTTAAATAATTGGTTGTCTGTCGTGAGCGATGTGTGATATAGGTAAGGATGGTTGATTGCCCTGTTGCTCTTGGCCTGTCGGAATCCCAGGTGGACGGCCAGGGCCACCAAACAGTTCTGGAATTGAAAGGTTAAATAACCAATAATAAAAAAGACCCAGAAAATTTTCAACAAGTGAACAAGTGGTGATGAACTTGCAAATTAGGATTGAAAAATTTATTAACTAGAGCCCCCGGAACCCTAAGTAAATTGACACAGATTCAAATTGACCTGGGGAGAAGAAGGGAGGGGGGGGCAAGAAGTGGGTAAGAGAAACGGAGGAAGGAGATAAATCAGATCCAGCCCAACGGACAGCCAAATAGATTAAGGATTAGAATCCGAGGTAGATAAGCAAGGGAAATGAAAGACATAAAAGAGGTGGAGCTCCACTGGTTCTGCCATGGTTGAGGGGGATGCACACAACAAGACACACTCTGGTAATGACGATAGAAGACGGATGCGTATGGAGACGAACGGATCGACAGCTTGCAGACGGTCTGACGGTCGGAACACAAACCAGCTAGACTAGATGACACGACCGCTATTCTTCATTCTTCAATTAGCCACTCAATTGCGTTTATCTACTAAACTCCATAAATTTACAAGAGTCTACCGGTATGATTGTCAACCTCTCTCTATTACGAGGGCTCTTGGCCCTGGACTACTATAAAAATCAGCATACGAGCGCTGGGAATCAAACACCCAAAGGAAGTGGTAAATGTTGTTCTGTAAAGAGGAAAGTTGCATGAAAGGCCGAAGGGCAACCCCGACGAATGCGGACAAAGAAAGTGGCACATTGAGGGGCAACGTATCCTGTCAGGAAGAGAAGAAAGCTCCCGTTTGTGTAGTTAAACTAGTAGGGTAAGTACTACCTGGTAGCGTATAATACTGTACAATTAAGTACTGTATACTGTATCTGGTGACTTCTACAGTACGTACTGTGCTGTATCCGTACCTATCACTTTATTAGTGAAGGAGTGCCCAGTGCAGTAATTAGTCTGGTCTACGTATCTTGAAGGACTGTACAAAGCAGTACATATCATGTCTTGTACGTACATAGAGATTTGGCAAATAGATCGTCAGGACCAGGGGGCACTTCAAGGTTACCTAGTAGTTGGACTTAGGACCTGCTGTGGATCATCTCAGGGGGGAAAGCTTGTCGGTTGACAGAGATGGCGCCCTATGATTGGCACACTCTTTGCTCACTCCTGGCCGCATTCAGTGGTGCCAGGCGGGAACCTTGAAGGACCTGGACAACTTAATCCGTTTGTCGAGTGCTGACTTGTCTCATTCCCAAGTCCCGGTTTGCGCCAAGTTGATGTGCATTGTGAGCGAATTCAGTGGTTGCGAAGAGGAACCATGAATGGTTTCAATTGTCATTCTGTCATATGTACGGAGTACTCTGTACAAACCGGTACAGTAGCGAGTACTCCGTATTGAAGTTACCATGTGAAAGTAGTTATACACAACCCTTTGCTAGTCAATCCTTGACTGACCTTTGCCCCTAAAGACCTACTTATATACTCAGTACTCCGTAATTACAGCACACCATCCATCAACCGTAACTGCAGTGCCTAGTCGTCTCTCCCCTTTCAGTAAGACACTAAATCAGTCAAATAATTGAAGGCGTACTCGAGCTCACCCTGACGTGTATAACAAATTTCAGGTGTAATACTATAGCCTAGAAGATCAAACTAGTGTGTACGGTATGGAGTAGTTACCGGCAGTTTGTGGATGAATGAGGTCTTGACTCTTGCAACTGCTGGCAGTGGGACCTCAGGCTCTCAGCTCTCTCTCTCCCTTACCGCTTTAGAAGCTTGGGGGGCCCGCTCCTTCAATCCTTCGAATGAAAACGGCGTTTATAAGCCCAACTTCTTGCGCATCCCCGAAATCTTCTGCGATCCTGTCGGTCAGTAGTCGGATTACACCGCGTCTTTACTTGTCGCATGGAGCTTTCAACCTCCAGCCAACATCCGGCCTTGGTGATCTTTCCTTTGCTCACGGACAAAGAGTTCGATTCTGCCTGTAACCAATTCCTCGATCGGGTTCACGTGGCAAATGAGTCTTTGATGGGGCGGCTGACTTTTCAATATGCTCAACGGGTTAGTTTCTGGTGGCTCTCACTCTTCCCTCCACGTATCTTGCGACACATCTCGCTGCCAGTCTCTCTATGAATTATCATATACCTAAAAAGGTCTACATTCAAATTATGCATCATGGAAGGATACCTTTCCCATTAGCGCCACAAGTGGAGAGCCATAGATGTGGGATGTGCACTTCAACTTAGGGCTCTGCAACTATTGAATCCATGCTCCTGTACTCTGTGATTGCCATGTAACACAGTGAGCTAATTTACTAGGCAATTGGTCCGATTTTGAGAATAACACGGCGGATCTCTCACGTCAGTATCCCCGCATACAATAGTCAATCCTCGGCAGACGACCCGATCCGAGAACGGTATACAGAGGCTTACGAAGATGACCCTGTCTGTGAAACATCCAATGTCATTGTGATTGATTTGAAACAAAGCGACATCTAACACGCTATGAACAGGAAGCTCTCATCCGTACACCCGAGCCCAGCGTCAGCTTACACGTAGTTTATGACGTCCTTCTTTCGCCCACCTACCAAGTCCCCGTCCTGTATTTCAACTTACGGCCGACTGATCATCCCGGACCGTTGGGGATCGACGCAGTTTACCAATATTTGGTACCGAGCCAATACAGAGAGGAACTCCAAAGCGTGGGTGTCATGGGTGGGATTAGTCTGGGTGTATGTGCAAGTATTCAGAACCCTAGCTCAAGCTAGAGCTTATAATTTGTAGTATCATCCAGAATCCGGAACTCCAGCATTCTTCGTCCACCCGTGCAACACTGCGGATGTTATGAGGCAAATCGCAGGACACCGGCGTGTCACCCCCGAGACGTATCTCATCATTTGGCTGGGATTAGTCGGAAATCGGTTGGGTCTTCAGCTGCCAAGGGATTTCTTCGCGACAGATGAGATGCGAGGGAATTCGAGGTCTTGAAATCTCGCAGATCCAGCTTTCAGAGCACTTCTAGACTGACATGTCCCCGGAACTCGGTCGACCAACAGAGACCAGGAGCGCATATGCCTTGGGGCACTATTTGGGGACTTAGTCTTCGTCGGAGGATGCTTCCATAGGAACATCACTATCTTCATCCATGGGAGCATCCTCTTCGTCACTTTCTTCCTCACGCGGCCTTTTTAACCCGTGAGCTGTCGGCTCCTCTCCGTTGACCTCCCCGATATGTTTCGGGGGCAGTGTTGCTGACCCAGGAGGTCCGCTAAAGATTGACTTTTGCAGCTCAGTAGACGCCGCCACAGCTTGCCCACCGGAGGTAGTGACCGACAGGTTATAGGTTCCACGAAGTCTAGCGATAACATCTGAGGCGCCTTTGGCATACATAATTTTCTGCATTGGCCCTTACGTTAGCAAACGAAGAATAACAGTCATAGGCGTAAGTTTTACCATTTGTTTGCCAAAGAACTCGAACCCCTGAAGAGCGCGCATAGCTTGCGTACTAGCTTGGACATCCTTGAACACAATATGAGCCTGGCCACGCATTTTCTCGGTTTTCATCGCGACAACATCTAGAACAGTGCCGTAGGTGGAGAAAAGCATGTAGAGGGACAGTCGCAAATCATGTTTCCGAAGTTTGTCCGGTAGATTTGTACAATATAAACTATGAAGGATCAGCTCTGTGGTCTCGTATATGAGTGGCAGGTAATCTCACGTTTGATTAGGGAGGCCACCCAAAGGCGGTTTACTTTGAGCGCCGCCGCGTGCAGGTATGATTTTCGTACTCATTATCGACAGGTGGTGATTGAAGTGGAGAAGGAGAGGTGGGAAGCGTTAAAATGGAAGGAACGCAGTATGCAATTGAGCTCAAGAAGGACATTAAAAACCAAGGAGAATAAAGTCTGCGCAGCCAGAAACACCTGAACAACTGAGCGATCTAGGGTCATGTGATGTATTATCTAATCGGACCAGTCCTCCGCGTCATCGTTAGGCATATTCGTAAAGTACACATGCCCGTTCATCCCTCTCCCCCACTTTCTCTCACTTCCACGTACACACTCCTCTCCTGAGCTATCACCAGCTACCAAATCGCTTCGACAGTAGAGAGCTCCTCCTGTCATTATCGTTACAATGGCTGCTCCTGAAATTCATCATCTCTTCCATAATCCGATCGCCGACCATTCTTTCTCTCCCGACAAATCAACACTTGCGGTTGCGCGAGATAGCAATGTGGAGCTCTACCAGAAATCAGGTGCCAAGTTTTCACTGACTGATGAGCTCAAAGGCCACGAGAAGACTGTGACCGGCGTGGACATTGCTCCTAATAGTGGCCGTATTGTTACTTGCTCACAGGGTATCTCGTCTCCCCTTTCTTGTGTTCTACTTCGGCACTAGTCTAACACCGTGATATAACACAGATCGAAATGCATACGTATGGGAGCGCACTCCATCGGGCTGGAAGCCAACTCTCGTATTACTCCGCATAAACCGAGCAGCAACTTTCGTTAGATGGTCGCCATCGGAGCAGAAGTTCGCCGTTGGCTCAGGTGCCCGTGTAATCGCTGTATGTTATTTCGAAGAGGAGAACGACTGGTGGATCTCAAAGCACTTGAAGAAACCGATTCGGAGCACTATTACAACTCTCGCATGGCATCCGAACTCGGTGCTCTTGGCTGCAGGCTCCACCGACTCTCATGCCAGAGTCTTCTCTAGCTTCATCAAAGGCGTCGATACACGTCCGGAGCCGAGTGCCTGGGGTGAGCGTCTGCCTTTTAACACCATTTGCGGCGAATTTTTGAATGACTCCGCTGGCTGGATCCATGGAGTCTCATTTTCTCCTAGTGGAAACGCCCTCGCATTTACTGGCCATGATAGCAGCGTCACTGTCGTTTACCCGAGTGCCCCAGAACAGCCCCCTCGAGCGATGCTGAGCGTCACTACTCGTTTACTGCCATTTACAAGTCTCATTTGGAATGGAGAGAACGAAATTATCGCTGCCGGTCACGTAAGACATTGTGACATCTCGCGGGACTTGCATGACTTCAAAGCTAACTCGCCGATTTAGGATTGTGAACCTTACCGTCTTCGCGGCGGCGAGAGTGGATGGCAGCTTACAGGGACCATAGAGAACAAGACAGGGCCAGGTGCCGGTACCGCGCGGGAAGAATCCGCCCTGCACATGTTCCGTCAGATGGATCTCAAGGGGCAGACTCAAGCTGATATTCAACTCAAGTCAACCCACCAGAATACCATCAGTACCGTGAGGGTGTATGAGGAGACCGATGGTGTTCTGCGCAAATTCAGCAGTGAGATTCTACCACTTGATTTGACCCTCGTCTGTAGGAGCTTAACTAACTTGATGGATTGCAGCGAGTGGGGTTGATGGCCGTGTCGTTGTCTGGACCATATAGACGGTTCCACTTTGTCAACACATTTGATGATGCATTGTTCGTGAAGGGCCAGGTGCCTTGGCTTAGTACTCTGTTGCCCCGTCTTCGGAACCTATTTAAATCGTGTGACAAGGGGCGCTTGTCGCTTTAGAAACACCTTGAAGTACATAGAATCTGGTTGGTTGTGTCGGACGTAGATTGTGCAAATTAATAAAAGCTTGTACTGTACTGGGTATTGGGCCATGGAACGTAACTTAGTACAGCATAGCATGTAAGTTACTGTAAACCCTTGAAACTATGGATCCACCCTGGTCGTAATTTTCCCCGGATTCTTCGACGTCACGCCTCGCCGCTCGTCACGAGCCATTGTTTCAAACAAGTACGACCACGACGGCCTCCCAGACCGCTGCATCATGAATGATAGATGACAATGATTTTGAGATCTAGGACCGAAAGTCTATCATGGCCGTAAGTTCAAGTCGTCGGGACATCTTCTACATTCTTCTCGCTTTAGCCTCTGTATCACTTGTCTTGCTTGTCCGCCGCACAGTCTCTTCCGCCGAACTTGATCGGATCTCGCTCAATGAAGCTCAGCGGTCGATTCCCAACAGCCTTTTCCTTGAACTGGACCAGCTCGCACGCGTGGTTGATGTCTCTTACTGTGTCGGCAACACCGGGCTCCGAAAACCATTCGAGTGTCTCAGTCACTGCGCCGACCTGGAAGGATTCGAGTTGATATCAGTAGGTGCCTCGTCTCTGATGCGGCGAAGAAGTTGGCCTATTTCTAAATCCGCGCACCCTGATAGGTATGGAATACAGGACCTTTACTGTCGGACTCCTGCGGTTATATCGCCCTTTCTCATCCGCCGTCACCAAAGAGGATCATCGTCGCTTTTCGTGGCACCTATTCGATCGCAAACACCATAATCGATCTCTCCGCTTATCCGCAAAGCTACGTCCCTTACGACCCGGGAAACGACACTGGTAATGAATTTGGGACGCTCCATTGTGAAGAGTGCACCGTCCATGCGGGGTTCATGTCATCCTGGCAGAACGCACGCTCGGTCGTCCTGGGCTATGTCTCTGCCGCAAGGCTACAATATCCTGACTACGACCTGTCTCTAGTTGGCCACTCCCTAGGCGGAGCTGTCGCTGCCCTAGCTGGGGTGGAGATGCAGCTACGGGGCTGGAAACCAACGGTGACAACGTTCGGAGAACCGAAGGTTGGAAACCAGGGTTTCGCCGAGTATCTTGCCAGGTTGTTTGAACTACCAAGGGGAGCGGCATCTGTTCCCGTCGAACGTTACAGATTCCACCGTGTTACCCATATCAACGACCCTGTTCCGCTCTTGCCACTTGCGGAATGGGGCTACGAAATGCATGCGGGAGAGCTCTTTATCGCGAAAGAAGACCTTCCACCATCAGTGTCTGATGTCAGGGTCTGCGAGGGTAACAAGGACGAACGATGCATATCCGGTGCGGACCACATTTTGAGGCTCGCACTTCGCGAAACGCCCACCCTTCTCGTACGACCACAGAGTGTCGATGCGCCTCCTGATTCGAAGGAACAACGGGCGCCGATGCATGTGTCTTCGCTTGAAGGTTATATCCTAAAATCGCAGGATAAGGGACAGTTTCGCCATGAAACATGGCGAAGATTCCACTGGCATTTGAACCCACCGCGTTTGCATTTATGGGAGTTATTCTTCTCTCATCGAGACTACTTCTGGCGACTGGGGCTTTGTATCCCGGGGGGTGACCCAACTGGCAAGGGGTGATAACCGATCGGTATCGCTTGGGAGAAAAGCCATTGCGTATGTGATTCTTTAAAGGCGCATGCTCTATTTGTCAGGGAACAAACCTAGGATGGTCGTGAGAATTGACTACATTGAGCGATCTTATTGTACTCTTAAATCGTGTCTCGTGCAGCAGGTTAGTCTTAGTTGAACCTTGAGACTATAGTACATCATCATACTTCAGAGTGGAAGAAAGAATAATAAACTCTGCACGTTCATTGAGTATTGATTGGCCAATGCAAGGATGGCCAAGCGGAAGGCCGCGCCCGTACGCTTCTGCAACCTTCCTGCCTGTTATGAGTAAAATGACCAAATTTATTTAGCTGCGACCTTTGTGAGACTCTTCTGTGTCTTCTACAGCAGGGAGACCTTTTTTGTTGTAAATAGCCCAATGACGCCACCATTCTCGAACCGGGAATATGCAACGTGGTCTACTGCATCACTATTCATCATAGCTTTAAGCCATCGATGTCGAGAATAAGGAGGGACGCGGGGGGGTGGGGGGAAGGGCTGTCGATTCTAGCTCTCTCTAGCCCATGCGTAGCCAGAGCTATGAGCTTCCTGCTTTCTCACTTGCTTGGTCCCATCGTGTTATCGTCTTGAAGATCCTTCTCCCCTTTATGATATCACCACAGCATGGTTGATACCTCATTTGAAGGCGTGAGATAGTGAGTGTCCAATTAATGTATGTGGTTTCACTGAATCAACATCCCTTGTGAAACACCATATTCTTAGTTCTTTGGTATCGATTCTACCCAGTGGCCTACCGGACTGTCCTACATAGGATGCCTGGCTAAATTATTTCTATTCTACTTTGACCAGTGGTCAATTATCTGAACGGTAGGAGATAAGACGGCATTTCCAAGGCAGGAATGTGCCGGTGTCCCGTTAAGACAATACCTACTATCGCCGGCCTCATGGTCCAGCTCTCTTGATGACACTGCGGTTTAGCAGCAGTGCAGGGATAATGTGTATGACGTGACATTACTACACAAGATAAAGGGCTAATGGCAGAACAAAATACATGCTGAAGCATCCTCCGAGCAGATACTAGGTACTACTAATCTGAACTATGCCACGCAAATAGAAACATCATAGCCAGACCTGATCTTCCATCAAAGGTCTCAGTATGGAGTTAGGACTTGAGAGATATATAGCTCCACCAGTTCACTTTCCAGGGTCCAGGCTAGGGACAATTACCGGTCCATATTTCACAACCTTCCCAAAAGTTCCATCTCCCTGAACCATGAAATCCGCAGCAAGATTTAACCTGCCACTTCCAGGGTTCGAAATAGCTTGCCCATACATCGTGTTCACAGCATCTGGATCATAAGCAACGATAGCCACATAATTTCGACGGCCCATCAGCTTGCGGTGCTCACGACTTTGTCCTGTCACGTCGGATTGGAAGATCTCCATCATATCTTCTTTAGTGTCAGTTGGCTGTGATGGCGTCGAGCGATGGCCGTTGGCGGGGATATAGAGGGGCTTGTTGTTGCTGTGAAGCATTTTCATGACATATGAGGGCGGGGGACTGTTCACAACCGCCGAGGAGATTAGTTGGTACATTGTCTTATGATTTGAGGGATGAGCTGGATCATGCACTAGTCCAGCACCGCAAGCATTCACAGCACCAGAGAGGAAGGTCATGCGCAAGGACTTCTGATGAGAGATACCCTGAAGGGTGCGAATCAAATAGGTTCTCTCGAGATCCTGTATGCCTCCGTTAATGATCGGTCTTGAACGGTCGGGGAGGAGCTCACCTACCTTGGATTCGTGTGTCCATTGGTCTCGAAGCTCATCTAATAGGTCTAGCTCCCCGAATGGGCTAAGAATTCCGCCCATGAGACCAGACTTTCCCACAGCACGCTTGACAGAATTAAACCCGGAGCCTACAACGTCCTTGGCTCCGACCACACCGGCTACGGAGCTGGTAACTTTCCCAAGAACATTGTATGCCCCGGTCACGGCCCTCTTTCCCGTTGCAACCGTATGTGCTATATGTTCTGCTGTCTCTAGCCGTGGATAAATAATGGGTACCGAGAGCATCCACAGGCAGTGTTGCACATTAGCAGGGAGCATTGCCACTTTGGGAAAGATGCCTTGATATGTTGGTCCAGCTATGACCTGGTGTGGGTTGCGCTCTGATCGACAATCTAGCCCAACGACGACTACAGCGGGTCCCAGGTATTTCACAAAATGCCAGCCAGTACCGGTTATCGTGAATAAATCGGTGTCGGTCCTGGTGCTGCGGAGTAGATCCAGAGTGGTATGATGCTGGAAGAGCAGATACATCTCCGTTCCAATTCGGCCTATGTTCTTGAACATGTTCGAGAATTGCATGTGCTCCGGGTATGAGCCATATCCGTCAAAGCTGGAATCATTAGTCGCAGCTATTTGTTCGTGGTGTGAATGCACTTACATGTCATGGTCGTCGATCTGGCAGACATATGGGACCTGTGCGAATGACTCGCGCAGATAGGGTTGATCAAAATGGCTCGTGTAATAATGGAAGTACGCATGGGAAACGTCTTCTTCGTGAGCTGTGGTCCACGGCGCGTTTTTTCGCGTCTCCTTTCCGCTCATTGCAAGCCACTGCTTCAGACACGAAATCTCCTTCCACATACGATCAGCATAGATCTGACCTCCAAGGCAGAGTTGCACATGAAATCCCCCGATTTCGTTATGTTTCTGCATAATATCTTTCCACATGAACCCTACACCCCCAAGCCGGGAACGTTCATTCGCATTCACATTCAAGGAGAAATCGTTGCCAGACGTAGTAATAAAGCGCCAGCTTGTTTCGTATTGCCCTGCGATCAGGAACTCATACCGTGTGCAGCCCAAGTGGGACGTGATGGCGTAGGTCCACTTAGCAGGCCCTGTTTCATCCATCTGTAGATCAATCTCATACTTGTAGAAGGTCCAACGCTGGTGCACAGCGATAGGTATCGCCTTTAATTGACGTGGATTCGGTGAGAGATCGATACTTTGATGGATATGTATTGTAGGAGGTTGCGCCGCATCGGTGACTAGAAGGATGGAGCCCATCCAAATGCCTCGCTCAACATCCATATTGGTGTAGCGGAGATACGGGCCAAAGTATACACCGTTGGTCGGTGCAACTTTATACAAGTCTATCCCATTACTTGGAGGAGGCCCACTGAACCCTGCTACAACAGGGGATTGCAGGCTTTCGTATCCTGGGGTCAAAGGAAGACCAGGAGAGGTCAGCGGCTTACCAAATGCTGAGAATACCGGCGAAGCCAGAGGGTGACTGCTGTACACGCTGCCTACCGGGGACAATGGAGTGTCATTGAGATTCAAGGGCGTTGGCCCTTTGGGAAATTCCCACTGAGTTGATTGAGTGGGCAGATGAATGTAATAATATTGGCCGGAGTTGGAGTCCAGGTGAGCAATCCACCCTTCGGGTAGCGGTGGCGGAGAAGCCGGTGGAAGTCCAGACGACGCGGACGACAACGTATTCGCCTGAGCTGGTTGGAGAACGGGGTGATGACCGTTCTGCGACGACAATGCCTGCCCGCCAACCTCGGGCGACACCGCCAGTGACCCCTGACGTCGCAAATCATTTGCAAAGGCTGGGTGAGCGGATGCAACGGGTGCAGTGGCATGAGAGGCACTATCTGTGGGGCTCGTAGCGTTAGGGTGAGCGTCTGTGACAGGTTGCTGTCCCGCCAATGCTACAGGCTGCTGCTTCTCAGTGGAATAGGCTTGTGAGGTTGCGGGCCCTGATACACTTGAATAGGCGGGCGGGGGGGATGAGCTAATCCGCATGCGCTCAAGGTCATTTTCAAGAGCATTTGGGGGGATCCTCGTCGGTTGCTGAGCCGGCGCAGCCTGGTACGAGGCCTCTTCTGGTTCTCTGCTTGGTGCTGGACGATCCTCATCCGATACAACCCCTGCCCCCTGATATACAGTAGGTGGCCCATGAGGTTGCGTGCCAGGTTGTTCGGTCGGAGTCCACGGCCGCGGAATCTCAGGCACTGGTTGTCGACTTCGAGGCTGTTGTCCGGCATATTGTTCTGCTCTCCTCTGGGCGGCAGCGCTTCGTGCTTGCAAGCCTGCCAGTGTCGAAGTCCCAGCTATCCCAGAAGCTGCGTATCGAGCCTCGATATCTGACGCTGGATGTTGTCCAGGTTCTATCACCGGAGTCTCCGGTGGCGGTGGCGAGCCACGTTGAGCACGAGTCGTCGAATTCGAGGCTGTAGAGCTGATTCGATTGATTGTGCTATTCGGCTGCAAATCATTCTGCGAGGCTGTTGGTCTCGGGGACGCTTGCGGAGGCGGGTAGTAAAGCGTGTGTTGGTGCTCGGGAATGCTGTTTTGGGGGTATGCGCCGTCGTTTGACACTGCAGGAGCCGGAAAGCGGGGGTGAATTCTAGCGAATAATCCTTCTCTATCTGGAGAATCGCCGCTGGGAGATTCAGGGAGCGGCTTCGGGACGTTCCCTCGCCGCTCAGCTAGAGTTGCTTGCTTGGGTTCGCGTCCTTCACGGGGCCGCAAAGCTGTAGGAAACCCTGAAGGCCGCGAGGAGATATGATTGGGGACAGTGGGAGAATCGCAAGATACCGCTGCTGGACTGATAGGACTAGAACCACTGGAACCCGCGGGCCGAACCTGTTGGGGCCTCTGCCGGTCATCCGGATAGGGCAGAACAATGCCGTTCGATGAGGCTGGGGAAGGGGATTCTCGTTTGTTGATGCGCAGTGGTTCAATAACCGGCGACTCCGTTTGCGATGGCTGTGGTGTGGTGGTAGTCAGGAACAGCTCCTCCTGAGACCGGCCGCCCTGATGACGACTGGCACCGGCGCTCATGACGAGAGACGGGAAAGACGATGGATTTTGACTGCGCTCGGGTATTTTGAAGCTCTATTGGATATCAGCCGATCGAACGGCAAGTACTATGCGACCGCAGACCTCGCCACGAGGACCCACGACGCGGAGCTGACTGTAGAAAGAAGAAAGGATGAACTGCTGACGGAGAATGTGCTGATGGTAATTAAGGCCAGGTCCTATGATAGTGAAAGGATTGAGACAAACCAGAACTACGAAAGGGAGGGGGAGGGGGGGGGGGAAGAAAATTAGGGAAATAGGGAAAAGGAGTTGAAGCGGGGAAGGCAAAGGCAGCAGCGTCGCAATCTACTTCAACTTATAACTTAGTTAGTACGGGGATTACTTCAAGACGCATAAGTTGCATGCGAGAAGGACTGAGATAGCCGCCGAGGTGGTGCCCAGCGGTCGAATCATTGGCTCCAGCAGACTCGGCGCCGGCCATGGAGGGGCAACTGAGCAGCGAATCGATGCTATCTAATCTAGCCCAACCTAGGTGGAACACCAGTGAGAAAATTAAAATTTATTCAAAACTAAAACTGTATAAATACTGTCATATCATACACATAGTTGTACTCACATGTATATACATCTGGATGTAAAATCAATTGGTTCGTGGACATCATGATTAATTGGAGCAGCTATGGACACCTTTGGGTATCTATATATACACGTATGCATATTGTTGTCAAAAACACAGATATGGCAAGGACAAGAAGAAAAGAGAAGGCTCTGTCGGGTGCAGTCGTCATTTGTAACTGACCAGTTGCAGCCCATGCTCTACTAACACTTCGACCCAACTAAACCCCAGTGTATGCTCACCACAGCTCGAATGCTGGATTTGACGTTCGTAAATGACTTGCAGGATATGGCACGCCGTTGCTGCATTGGATCTTATGTCTGTCTCCTCGAGTCCAGAAAGCAGTTCCAGAGCCATCATTTTGAGACTGCTCGATGCAGCAACTGCTCCTGACAAGAACAGAGGAAAGACCATGAACGGCCTGTCGCCCCGACTATCCCGGCTCAGAAGCATTGAGGACATCTGGATAATCATCGTGGCGTGATGGTGAACGCTTTCCTCCGACACGGCACTGGGTCCAAGTCGTTGCCCAGGATATACACTCGTAAAGGAGAAGAGGAGGCAAGTGTGAAAAAGGATAGAAATCTGATGAAAGTGACAAGCTGTCAGTATCTGGCCCGTGTAATTTGAATGGCAAGAGTTGCCTGAATGAGTTGACTAACCTGCTGAAGCATATCGTGCGATCGCTTGGGAAGGCCGGCCTGATTGTGGATCATATACTGAATCTCAGGATGATCCCAGAGTCCAGTCAAGGCTTCACGTATAGGCCCAAGTTCTTGTTGACGTGAGTTTAACCTTGGGTCAAAGAACTGCGCCTTTGCCTTTCTTAGCTCAACAGAAATAACCCCCAGGCGTATAGCTAGTATGAAGGTATCATAGTATAGGCGCGAAAGTGTAGATATATCATCATAGTCGGCATAGAGTAGGCTCGAGTCCTCCGGCCCGATGGGATGGAAGAGGGACTTTAGATCAAGGAGCAACTGGTGGTTGAGTACGGCTCTTACATACTCCCCTGTACCTGCACCGCTGAGGAGGGCGTAAAGATCCACGTTGCAGACCCACCAGACGACAAAGGGGAAGGGTTCTGCACCGGGAGCCGACTGTCGAAGTAAGGAGATATGAAGTAATTGGGACACGTGATGAGACCAGAGGCTCGAATTGGCGACGTTGCAAGCCATGACCTGCAGGAATCAGATCAGTATTCGTCGAATTGTGCGAGCCTAAAAGCATGTACCGACCTCATATACGAGTAGCAAGAAGTGTGAGAGGAAGCTCCCATCTGATAAGAGATCTTCGTTGCTCTGGATTCTACTTTGTAAAGTGTATATCGTTTGGTGGTAGTAATGAGAAGGATCTAGGCTGTGATGGTTGCCTTGGCGGGCAAGGCTGAGTGCGGATATGGCTGTCAATGCATGGTAGAGCTGAATATCTAGGCATTAGACAATGTGTGTCGTGGACGTCGCAACTGCAGAAAACTCACCGGGGGAAAGCTGGCAGCCTCTTGCTCGAGAAGCTCAGCAGTCAAGCCATGACCATTATCTATACCGACACCGCATAATAATTGTGCACAGACAACACGACGGAAATGATTCAAGAGGATGAAGTCGTAATGCCCGAGGTCGAGATCATCTGAAACATGCTGCCAACCAGGTCCTGTATAATTGGAGATTGGTTCAGGTCCTGATGCAACAGACAAGATTGAGCTGCCTGGCTCGGATTCTGGGGACTGCGAAGGACTTCTTCGGTGGAAGTACTGGGGCCTTCTTGTGTCACGGAATTTTTGTAAAATCACTACATCTGGTCCGCAGGCCCGCGTGTCGTTCTCAACCTGGTCACTTTCAGAAATGACCGTCGAGCCCGGGGAGACCGTGGATTGATCTGCATCTGCAGCCCCACCCATGTACTCTGGCAGCTGGGAGAAACTCTCTGGAATAGCAACAACATGATACGTCCCCGGGACAGCTGACTGAGCTTTTCGTTCCCGCTCTTCATCCGAACCAAGCATGACGAAGGGAGGAAGCATATCGCAGGTGAGTGGGACGGTCGGGGCGCGTGTCCTGGCTGCTCACAGGTTAGCAATCCCTCAATCTCAGCTGTACCGAGTTTCTATAGCCCACGGAAGCCAACTGGGATGCCTTACAATCCCACACTACACTGGTCTTCAATTTGACATCAGGCATTCGCTCCATCACTCGGCGGGTATCATCCCGGAAACACAGACGGGGTTGATAATCACAGATGTGACCTAGACGAGCACATTGCTAGGAGATCAAACGTCAGTCTCGCCCACGGCGACATGATAGTGAAAGACCCTGAAGTCGATAAGGAAGGGGTGGTGGGGGAGGGAGGAAATCACATTGCACTGAGGATGGACTTCATCGCACTTGACTGTGTGGCTGTTCAGTAAAGATGCACCATAAGATAACGAGAAAGAGAGATGATTCAGGTCGTTTTTTTTTTTCTTTTCATTTTGATGGGTCGACGTGAAAGAAAGACTAGATGATGTAACTCACCCTTGCGACTCTACTTCCCCAATTGAAAAAAGATTAGCAGGCGTAAGGAGGAGACTTTATCGGTTGTAAGTGAAAGGGGCAGGCTCACTCTGCATGTCCTGAATATCATCGGATAGGGTTAAAAAAGGTCTGGATGAGTGTCTCAGGTAGGCGGGACATACCAGCAACCGGTCCGGGACCGGGGTGGGAAGCGCAGACGGTGTTGTCTCGCAGACGGTTTCTTAGGCACGGGAAGATCGAGCGCGGTGTTCGGGGAAGTGATGATGTCCTTAGGAGCGATAATGGGTAGCCGTAGAGGCCGCTTCCTCGCGGTTTGACCGTGTCGGTTGGACATCACGATGCTAATAACAGTCATTGAGTCGATTGACTCTGTGAAAGTAGCCAATCAGTTCGGCTACTCAGCCAGCTGAATGCTCAATGGAACTCGATCTACCCTTCCGCTTTAGGATATTCTTCTCACTTGGCAGGAACAATTGGTAGGTGCTTTCTCGGGACAATGAGCTAGAGATAGGCTGATTGATGGCAGTGACAAGAGAAGAATGCATAGTCTAGTCAACTAGAAGAACAAAAACTGGGGATCAAGGGACAGATACGAAGGGCCGCTGAGTATCTCTATATGCATTATGTGGAGAAACTTAAAACGTAATAAGATAGAATCGGAAAGCAAGAAGCGAGAGTGGCAAAGGATGGGCGGGGGGTGGATTTAAAAAGAGAAATCAAAACGAAGGGAAAGAGGCAAAAAGAGAAAGAAAAAAATAAGAGAACAAGAAAAACGAGAGACCACGATGGAGTGAGAGGGAGAGGAAGAGAGAGGGGGAGAGGAAGAAGTCCGTACAAACTACAAACTACAGCGCCGATGCAGAATGATGATACCAAGTGTTTCCGAATCAGCCAGCCCTGTTGACAGTGGCGGTTATGGAGTCATTGAGACCGAGGCGAATCAGAAAGGTCAACGTGAGTTGCTTGCTTTCCCCGGCCCCTCTCTCTCCTTCTCTCACTTCGCCGCTGGCGGTAACTACGAACTACTACTACTACCACCACCACCACTACTACCAGCACGCGCAATGGCATGTTTGTCTGTGTGATGGGGATGATGGGATGGATCACGACCAGGTGGGTTAGGCTCGTACCTTAGGCGAAAGATTAGCCTGCACCCCCACCTCTCCTCCTCCCAATGCAGGAGCAACAAACGAGAAAACAGTTAGGACAGAGGACAGACCAAAAAAAGCCCGGTCCCAAATAGGTCTAGTAGTCAAAATGCAGATGCCAACCATGTGGCAGGGGGAAAGCCTCTCCGGGGCGAAACCCCCAAAGAGCAGTGTGTTCCCTGCAAGCCCGACGCTGGAGTTGGTGAAAATGATGCAAGGCCTCGGGTTCTGATAGATCGATCCGCGGGTGTCTCCATGCGGTGGAGCAGCCTTGTTCATGGGATGATCTGCTGGGGTCGAGATCCTTTCCATGCCTAAGGTAACTACGGGAATAGTTAGTACTACATAATATGTGGTTAAGTTGTTTAATTTACCAGGTATTTGTCACACATGCACGTGGACTTGGGGAGAGGTGGAAAGGGGGGGGTGTGAGTGTTGAGCGAATGAGGGCGAGAGGAGCAGCCACCGACCGCAGGCCTGAGATTGAAGAAGTTAAGAAACAGAAACCAAGCTTGCGGGAAGCGTAACAGGATGATGGGTCGCAGTCATCCATGGTTCATGCTTCATGGTTCATGTCTGTCTTCACTGCATGGTACCTATGTGTATCTCAGCTAACTGGCTTACTATCCTATCTAGTCTAGTCTGGCTGGTCTAGCCCTTTCGGTCCGGTGAGTTTCGGCCACGCCGGTTGCCAAAAACAACACGCACGCGAGTTGAAGATGGCCTTGGCAATAAACACTGCCACTGATTGGCGGGATGGTCACGGGGCTCGGGTACAAATCGGCGCTGCCAAAAAAAAAAAAAGAAAGAAAAACAGTGAAGAGAGGACAAAAATCTGCAAACACAAGCCACAGACTAGTCCCGTTCCTGCCACCCTCCTCGATCTATCCATGATCCATGATGGTCCAAGACCCAAGTATGCACAGAGGAGGTAATGTGCTGTACTATACTGTACTGTACTGTATCCATCAACAAATCAATCATCACACCAGTGCGCCTGTTCTCGGAGCCGAGCCTGTACTGTAGTGAAGAATTTAAGATAATGTAGGTAGTTAGTGTGATATCTCGCTAATCCCGGAATTTCCTGGATTCCTTTCAATCTTAAAACTGTGCAAAAGAGTCTTATCATCGACTGGCTCTAACCTGATTTATAGCATGATCATCCCCCTTTTTCTCTTCTGACATATCTGGTCTGAGTGTCGATAACTCACGATCTTTATACACATAGTACGGAGTACGGAACACAGTATGATTATTATTTACTAGTTATAATTCGCTAGTGGCTGATGCTGGTGCTGGTGACTGGCAGGCGGCGGTGTGAGGACTGTCCGAGGCGAGGTCGAGTCAATTTGTACCTGTCCAGTCAGTCTTTCTACTTTGACTTGCCTCATCTTGGCTTCATTCCTATTATCTCCGGCCCCGGGATCGGGCTCTTAATTGTTATGGATAGTTGGACAGGTTAATACTCACCTACCTGTAACTGATGTTGTACGTTCTGCAGGTAGCTAGCTCTCAATTCCCCAGGAATTCTGTGTCAATGTACCAGTCATAGTGGGTAGTTAGTAGTATGGTCCCGAGACCGGGGAGAGGGGTGGGATCACTTCGGGGCAAAGTTGTTCCTTCAGATCCTCCCTCTTTTTCACTTTGTTTCCGACGGACAGACGGCTTTAACTTCCGACCCTATCGTCCGAAGTTCGTCCTTCTTGTTGTCTTCGTTTCGCGGGTCTGTCTGTCCCATTTCCAGGTTTTGATACAAGATTAATACGTATAGTCTTGTTTTCCTATTTCCTGACACAAATCTTCAGCCATAAGTTACCGGTATCTCTAATCGCTAGCCCTGACATGCCCTACAATGAGTATGTCCCTGTACTCGTGCTAACTTAGTCTGCCAGTCGCACCAGATCGACCCCCTTTGCCCCCCTCTGTCCGATGCCCAAATCAACCCCTTCCCCCGCGAGACTCATCTGGGCCAATCTAGATCTTCGGCATGGCCGCTGCCATCGGTTGAGACTCATTCCACCATCGATTTCTTCCCCATCGGATCCGAATAATATTACCTTCTGTGTACGAAAGCAGATTTGCCACTTGCGGTCTCAGAGAGGAAATGACTGTATGTATGCCGTGTCCGTGAGAAGGTAGGTAGGTAGGTAGGTACCTTATCCCACCCCCCGACCAGTTGGCTGCCACTAGTTCTACAAATTACTACGCATTACTACTTTAAACTCCGACCTTCATTCATTCTTTACCTCACATATCTCTACATGATTCTCGCTTCTCTTCCCTCTCTGCGCCTCCTCCAAGGGATAACGGACCTCTCATTGGGCGTATCATTGTTTTTTTTTGACAATGCCTGGACCGAGCTCAGCCCTAGTCTCATGATCAATGCATGTTCCCCTCATTTTATACCCTCCCTTTCGTACCCCGTCTTCATACCCATCGGGCCATACTTGCTGTCGTCCGATGGCGAGTGAGACCTATCCCCCGCATGATCTCAATCAGAAACTAAGAGTCGTTTCTCACAATATCACTGATGGCGGTATTTCGGCCGCAAGCGCCCGGTCGAGCACCTGTTGTACTAACCCCGACCGTTCCCCGTCTCTCCATGTCCGTATGGTTTTCCATAGTGTCTCGTCAACTGGACATCTCATCTGCGCGCACAATTTGACATATGAAGCAGTTGCCTGTGCGCGCCCCAGACGCACTTTTTCTAACGAGGTATCAATATCACGAGATAGCATCTCGCTGGCTAGCGCCGCCAAGGCTTTTTGGGGTCCGCGTAGATCGACTTCGCCACCCTGCGAGGCTTGCCACCTCCCTAATTGGTCGAGGACTGCGCAAAGCTCTCTGTACAGTGTTGTTTGCACGTTTCTGCACCCGCGTCCCATTGCTCGGCGCAGGTTTGGCACAATCCCCTCCAGGTGTTCCTGTACAACTGGATCGTTGTTAGCGCCCGATAAACTTACAGACCGGCTGCATGGGAACCTACCACTTGCTGATTGATGCGACACAGGTTGGCAACAACGTAGGAGACCTTCGACACAAGCGGCTAACGTATCATCGAGTACTTGCCTAAGGAATTCGTCAGTTCCCGTCCGATCTGGCATGTTTAGTTCGAACCAATATCGGCGATGGAGGTCCGCAAGAGCCACAAGGTGAAATCGTCGGTGGTCCAAGTGTTTCATTGGACCTCCAAGCCTCCATTGGTGAAGGGGCCAGACTTACGCAGGTCTCTGGCTGCTTCCTGTATCGACCTCCATTGGATCCCCGTCCTCTTCTATCTGGTCCAACACTTTAGTGACGATGCTGATGGCCTCTGGCACAAAATCAAGATCATCGCGCGCTTGCGACACCTCGCCAAGAACGATGAGGGCATGAGGTCGGTAGGTCACATTGTTTCGCTTGGCTTCTCGTAAGGTGATTGTCTTGTTCAGCCATACGCGTCAGTTGTGAGTCTTGAAAGCGCAAATGGGTTAGAGCTGCGGACGGGAATACCTTCATAGCCTCTGCCAGCTGAGGCTTTGCTTCCCATAACTTTTTTGCCTGTTTTGCGAACCTCGCAAAAGCTCTGAGCACCCTTTCTTTCCCATCCCATGTTTTACCAGCCAACGCCTTTTCCAACACAGGCCATATGTGTTCGCTCGTAGCAAGATCCAACTCAGCATCGAGAGATGTGATAGCATTTGCAAGTCCCAGTGCGGCTGTGTGCTTAATAGCCCAACGCGCTGATTCCAGGCTTTGAGACACAAGCTCAACAATCTCTTTTATGTAGAGTGACACTGCCCGGTTACCACCAACGTTGTCCTGCCATGTTTTCTCAAATACCTCCCGAACATGGTCATCCAAATCGTATCTAGAGACAAAGATAAATGGCAGTGCCGCTGTGGCGAATGCCTTAAACCGGTCATTAGCTAGCCTCGACGTCGAAAGTAAAATCTCAGCCGAGATAGCACGCTGATTGGTGTCTTCTGCTGTAAAGTATAACTTCTTCGCGTGCTCAATCGTGCTCAAGAATCGCTCATCAGTAGCAAGGCGCATCAAATAGCCGATCGAGGAGCAATAGGACGCGCTAACAGTGTCATTGCGATCTACCACGTATTTCCCAAGGAGCTGAATAAAGCGGTCTGCGAAGGGGCGAAATAATGTGGTCCGCATGCTTAGGAGTACCAGGACACGACTGCAGCCCACTTTGGACGGAAGGCCCACTGCTGAGCGCAGTACTCCCTCTAGCCTCAAGGCAAATTTTTTCATGCTCTCTACGTCGAGCATATCAATGAGGTGCCGCTCAATGACTTCCATCATAGGCGACGTGCGGATGCTGGATAGACGCATTTTGTCGATATCCTGCCCCGTCAAGCCATACTTGTCGGCGTTGAGATGAACATAGTTCACGGCCTGGGGCTCCAGGGAACTCAAGCAGCTTAAGAACTGTTCCATTATTTGAGGCACGAATGGGCGCAGCGGTTTTCCAGGGCTCTTCTTGATCATTTGAATTAGTGCTCCAATCGCAAATCCTTGAACTTCTTCCACCCCGGACTCCATGCCCTTGTCACTCAGTAGGAAAGGGATAACGGTCTCCAGCATTGAACTGGCTTGGTTCGCATCGGGTTTGCTTGTCTCTAATGTGCGCATGATCATGTTGGTGATGGTTTGGCAAAGCTTCATCGCTGACACCCGGACTGTTTCTTTGATGTCGTCTAGTAGCTTAAAAGCTTTAGTAAAGATCTCTTGCATATATTCTGCGTACGTTTCCGGCCGGCGCCCTTGAATGAGGTCGGCAATAGCAGCGCAGCTCGCTTGCCGAGCCCTCCATTCTCGTCCTGCCAGCATGCTCTTTAGTAGATCAGCTATGATCTCATCGAAATGAGCATCAATCAATTCTGTTGGATTCTTGACCAAGGCCCGCCATATTGTATCCATTGATCGCTGCACATTTGGGTTCGGGTCGAATCTGTAACGAAACAATTTTGGATAAATCTTGGGGTTCTTCGCAAGGTAGCCGTCCACGCTTGAATCAGAGAATATGCTGCTTATCCCCAACTTGCTGAAAGCCGCACGGCTGGTCCAAAGGGCATTGTTCGAGGCCAGCGCCATGAATTGATAAACCAGACTAGGATCTCCCGCTTCGGCAGCGAGGTTCATGATATCTTTATAGGTATTCACAGATGATCCACCCCCAGTTGGTAGGGCTCCTGGCTCGAACAATTCGGTAGACTCGTTGACCCGGCCTCCTCTTAGATTGGACTTACCTTCAGTAAAAGAATCCACCAAATCACGTACCAGGTCGTCCTTCAATCCCCGGTCACCAATCGCGTAAACGAGACTTAGGCCTTGCGCTCCGGTCTCTTGGACGACTTCTTCGCGATCAACAAGCAAATTGCTAAATGACCGCTGGCAATCTCGCAGACGGGCTTGCATCTCGGGCAGATGACCGCAGTTTTTGACAAGGCTCAAGAGCCACATAGCAGCAGCCTTTCGCAGAGAGGGTTTTGATGCACTGCAGCTAGATAAGATTTTGTCGCATACTTCAGCGAGAACTGATTCTGGGATTGCGGACGCGGGAATTGCTTCGTCCACATCAAATCCCAGTACTAGTGACTTAGAATT